TGAATATTTTACAGTTTGTTTGATACCTTTAGATCAAATGGTGTTGTCGTTTAATGGATTTATATTATTGCATACATTAAAAGTTGTAAAATTATTATAAAAAACATAAAATTGTAATTCCAAAAACGGAGCTTTGTGCGATAACAGGTATGTTTTCCCGAACATTTTAGTATTGGTTTTATATTATAATGTCACGTAGTTAAATTGTTTAATTAATTTAAATGTTTTTTTTGTTTTTTTTAATTCCTAGAAATTAAGCCTTGTGCAACATAAAGGGCATATATTTATGTCTATCTGAGTTAGTTTGGGTTCAAAACATAAAAGCCGCAAAGAGTTTAATTGGCAAAAACCCGAATGTCTAATGAATGTCAAACGTCAAACTAACTTTACCGCCGTCAATGACTAGCTTGTAAGTGGCAAATAGCTCAAACAAGCACATGCATCTCGTGTACCTTCTGCCTGTCCCGACCAGGTATGTGTTGGTGCCCTGCAGTGTCATGGGCCCCGGGTTACAACCCAAAACACGCACCACTCTCGATGACAGCTGCTCGATACGAGGAATTATCGAGGACATTTTCACCAGGACCACACAGACACAGCACGAACTTTAAAAGACCCCTGAAAACGCTCCTGCTACAGAGCAGACGAATGACACTGAAACTTCCTTCTTCTTCTTTGGGTTTTAACAGCAGCTTGCATCCTTAACGTTGCATTACTGCCATCTTCTGGTTCTAGTTATTTCCCATATACTTTAGTCATCATATTCTTGTCATGAGTCCCGTTTTAGTCAGAAAGCAAATCAAATATTTCCTTCCTTGTTCACTCCTACTGCAGTCCATTATATTCTTTACTCCACGTCCTGTTACACTGAAACTTTCTGTTCAAAAGTCACAATTTACAAAATAAAAGTCTCTGCCACTCAACGTTTGGATGTTTCTTTTGCTTCTATAATTTATATATCATAATCACGGTAATGGAGCACTTAAACACTACAGTGACATTATATAGTCTCTGTGTTCTCTAATTAAGAGAGAGAGAGAGACTTTGACTTTTAACACACTTTTAACTCAATTTCAATTCTCTGTATGTATGTGCTGTACATGTGGAAGAATTGACAATAAAGCAGACTTGACTTGACTTGACTTGATTAAAATATCTAAAAACAACCACTACATTATACCCCACACATATAACATTGCATATGAGTTCAGGAGATGTCAGTTTCTGACTTAGTGTTTAATATAATGCTGTACATTTTAACATGTTATTAAGGCAATGAAGCAATAAAGTAAAGAATATGTACTCATTGTGGTGAAATTAAGAAAATAAAAAGATGAGATATTTCATTAAATACATTCTTTTGCCAGGAGTAAGGAAGTAAGAAGAGAAAACTTGTGACTAGAAGGAATGCAGCTACAGCTGGAAAATAAAAATTAATTAAATTTGCTACCTATTAGATTGCTTTATTAATGTCTACACCTACCCCAACCTTAAACCCAGTGTTGGGCAAGTTACTCTGAAAATGTAATCAAATTACTGATTACTGATTACTCATTTTAAAAGTAATCACGTTACTGTTCTGATTACTTTATTTCAAAAGTAATTAGTAATTAGTTACATTACTAGTTGCGTTACTTTTTCCCAGTGCGTGAGCTACATCCTTTTTACAATCTCCAGATTATAAATCACTACATTCTGTCAGCAATGTAACGCGGCAGTAACATATAGAGACCTTGGCTTGTAACTATACTCTAATTACTATTTTGAAAATTATAACGCGTTAAATTACTCCGTTACTAAAAAAAAGTAATCAAATTACAGTAACGCGTTACTAAGTAATGCGTTACTGCCCAACACTGCCTAAACCTAACCTTACAATAATGCAAATACAGTAATTAATTGTTCAGCATCAGAATGACAAAAATGACACAATATTGATGTGCCCATGTCCAGTAGGACAATCTGGCCGTGGCTGTATCCCATCTAGACTTAACCAGAAAACACTGCTGCATAAAACGCACATGATGCAATATATAGAAAATACAATAGAAACTTAAATTATGAAAAAAACAATAAATATCTAATTAATTCATGACAGCATCATGCAGTAACTTGCAGAAATTCTCAAATACAGATTTTTTCCTATCATGAACAAATAAAAACAGTTTGTGCATTTCTACAAGGACAGTCTATGTGGTTAAAGTGTGATCTCTAGTGTTACTGGATCTTCTAAAAAACAGCACCTGCTAAAACTATAAATAAGGTCTTCTGTAACTGATGTTTCCAAAGATGGCTTAGCTGCGCTAGCTTGAAACAACATAAGCTTTCACCAATGTCAAATGCAAAATTAAGTAGTTACATGATTAAGTGTTTTGTTAAACTGTGTGTAAACACATGGTTGAGAATGAATGTGCATATGTGTGTTTAAACACTCAGGACACTCAGGACTTTGTGCTTCACTTCACAGACACATGAAACTTTATTATGGAGCTGCACAGGATCAAAACAGCTTCAGTTATTCAGTTGCAATACACACTGATAGTCTGTTAATGTTGAATTTAAATATCCACAGACTAAACGTAGTCACACAGATGAGCTTGTTAGTAATGATCAATCTTATCACAGGGGTTTTACTCGTATAGTCAAAACAGACAGGTTAGAGAAACAAACCGGCCCATCACAAAGTCTCTTTTACAGCTAATGAATCTTTGCAGACAGTGCAGGAACAGCCTATAGGTTTACATGTTGATGTAGGAGGTGCTTTTGGGGTCAGGCCACATTAATATCTGTATTAAGAGATGAATTGATACCCACATAGAGCATCAGGATATGCAGAACCTCATTCCCTTATTTGCTTTGATGCTTCTTATTAAAGTGAGTGAATGTTTATTGCTCTTGTGGATGTTTATTGATCTGAACACCTCCTTATACTCATGAAACTTCTTGATAACAGCATGGAGATCAGACACTGTATTTGTAATTTGCCAGAATCACACAATAACAATTTAGTCTTTATTTGTTTACATTTTCTATGCAGAAGTTTGCTGTAAGTTCATAAAGCACAGCTGCACAAGTCTTGCATGCATTTCTACTTGCTATCCACACTTTTTGTGTGCACAGATTACATTTTAACATCAAATGGAAGTGGTAGTACTTCCCAAGAGTTTTAGTCTTATAATAAAGGTTCAAGTCAAGTTAAACATCATGATTTAGTGAGCGTTTCATTGTCTTGGAAAGGCAGCAATGGTCTCCATGCAAGATGATTTGGCTTTTTTGTACGAGTCTCTAATGATCAGATAAACTGTTGTTGTCACAACCCATAGAACACAGTTCTAAATCTTAAATAACGAAGCACATACAGATTAGTTTAATAAATTAAGGTCCAATTAACTATATATTTAGAACAGATCTGGCCAGTTTTCTGTGCGATATGCAAAATAAATAGCAATGATGAGAGAGTAATTCAAATCTGGAACAATGACACAGAGAAAAATAAAATGAATTTGCTTTTATAATTACACGGAACTAAATCAATACCCAATTCCTAATTACTATTAAATATAGTCCAATCATTTACAGACAAAATAGTTTCTATAGGACATATATCTTCTCAGAAATGGGTTCAGTTTATATACAACCGAGAGGGAGAAAGAGAAAGGTAGGAAGAAAGGAAGTATCACTGTGGCAGGACTTTGAGAATAGCGTTCACCTCTTCAGCTACAGTCGTCAGTGCAAACTCAAACTGATCCTGAGAAAGACACAGACACAGCATGTGTCAGCATGAAAAGAGATTGTGTGTTTCGGTGTATTTGTGGGTATGTGTGTGTATATACCTTGGTCTGAACCATGCCGGGTCTCTGGTCTCTCAGGTGTTCCAGCGTAGCAGCAATATCAATCTCTTTTGCACCTGTAAAGCAAAGCATTTTGTATCAATATTTATACTGACTGTCCACAATGTGAAAAATATTACTGAACACCCACTGATATCTGATAATCAGCTTTTTTGTCTTTACCTTTGGCCATTTTATTCAACACCATGTCAATCAAAATGTACGTCCCAGTCCGTCCAGCACCATCACTGATGGAAAAAAAGCAAGAGTAAAAATAATTACATTTAAAAAAAGAGACAAATTACAGACTTACTCACCCTCAGGCCATGTAGATGATGAGTTTGTTTCTTCATGGGCACAGATTTGGAGAGATTTAGCATTACATCACTTGCTCACCAATGGATCCTCTGCAGTGAATGGGTGCCGTCAGAATGAGAGTCCAAACAGCTGATAAAAACACCACAATAATCCAGAAGTAATCCACGCAACTCCAGTCCATCAGTCTTTTGAAGTGAAAAGCTGCGTGTTTGTAAGAAACAAATCCATCATTACAATCAAAATGTACGTCCCAGTCCGTCCAGCACCGTCACTGATGGAAAAAAAGCAAGAGTAAAAAAAAGTAGAAATAATTACATTTAAAAAAAGAGACAAATTACAGACTTACTCACCCTCAGGCCATGTAGATGATGAGTTTGTTTCTTCATGGGCACAGATTTGGAGAGATTTAGCATTACATCACTTGCTCACCAATGGATCCTCTGCAGTGAATGGGTGCCGTCAGAATGAGAGTCCAAACAGCTGATAAAAACACCACAATAATCCAGAAGTAATCCACGCAACTCCAGTCCATCAGTCTTTTGAAGTGAAAAGCTGCGTGTTTGTAAGAAACAAATCCATCATTGCAGCCTTTTAACTTTAAAATACCAGTCCAGTCTATACCAATCCATAATCCATAATAGCACTTCCTCTAGTGAAAAACTCCATACCCTGTTGTCACATCAAAATCAACCTACCTATTTGTTTAGAACTGT